ACACACACACACACACGTAATATTTAAATATAAAAGAAAAAAGAAAAAACTTAAGGCATCTTTTCTCCTCATGAAAACTGTTATATCTCCAGTATTCTCTCCCCTCTTTGAGATGGGTTAAAATATACAGATGCTACTTAAGTTAACAAACATAAATAGTTTTTTTGTAAATCATACGAATATTTCACTTAAGCAAATATAAGATATAAAAATTCAGTTTGCTGGGAAGAGGAATTAGGGGATTATATAGCTTTACAAAAAGACTCTGAATAGTATTGCTTTAAATAGCAAAATTCCCCAGAACATTTAAGATATGTTGATTTATGAAAATCTGATTCATATAGAACTTTATAAGAATACATCTGTTATATAAATCCATGCTCACCTGTAATTTACTCTAGAGGGAACAACTGAGTGATAATAATAATAACATACTCATATAGTTCTTCATTATGTATCTTAGAGTGCTTTCCCCTAATTTATTACATTTGTCTTTGGCAATCTTATAAAGGAAGCAGATGGGATATTATTCGCTTTTCTTTACAGATGAGAAATTGAGAGGTTAAGCAACTTGCCCGAGGTCAGGCAAACTATTCATTCATTTACTGCCATTTGAGTGATGTTGTTTTAACAGAGTAGTCAAGGAAGTATGATTTTTCCTCTTAATTTTTTTAAACCAGCTGTGAAGACTATTAAAACAGAGGTGGATGATCTCACAAATATAATGTTGAACAAAAGAAGCCAGACTCAAAAGTGTACATACTTCACAGTTCTATTAATGTACAATTCAAATGCAGGCAGAATAATCTGTGGTGGCAGAAGTCAGAGTAGTGGTGAACTTTGGGAAGAGGAGGATGGTGACTGGAAGGTAAAGGAAGGTTTCTGGGATATGATAACACTCTATTTCTTGACTTGTTTGTGGTTACATTGCTATGTTCACTGTGAATATTCATCAAGATACTTATGATTTGTCTACTTTATATATATTCTAGTTTTCTTTTGACATCTTTAAAAACAGTATGATGCATTTTAGAAGATCATTACATTACACATATTCTTTGAACATTTGTGATTTCCATTAAGTGCTTTAGCTGCATTTAAAAAATTAGACTATGAACCAAATTGAAGACTTCAAAGAGAGAAGAAAAAGTTTATAGAAGAAGTATTCAGGATCATCTTCATCTGAAAGGTTACTACATGAAATGGGAAACTGGAGCAAACTAAGGCAATAATATAATTCTTTTAGTACTAGGTGAACATTTGTATTTAATGACATTAAGCAATGATGTAGGGAAATGGGATTCAGTTGTTATCCACATAGTATATCCCTAACTTTATATATATGAATTTAAAGAAGATTATAATTTTTAAATAATATCCATTTTATTTTAGAACTCTGTGTATTAGGATTCTGTACTGGACATCAGGGTACAAAGCCACTAGCAATGATAAAATCCTGAGGAGGATGTGCCTACAGGGGCACATGCGAGGATTCCTGAGAATCCTGTTTCCCTCAATATAAGAACACATGGGAGGAGTATGTTTTGACTATCATCCAGGATAGAAATTACAGATGTATTCAACTGCTAAAGTGATTTTGAAGTTTATGCTGTTGTTTTCTAAGAATGCTTCACCCCCTGGAGCCCTTAAAAGCTAATGCTGCACTTGTATGCTTTTACCACGGATGGCAAAGGTTTTCATTTTTACATATGGTCTTTTGTTTTCATTTTATTCTTTTAAAAGAATTCATGATAGTGTCCTCCCTAAATTATCTGTATCAATAATCTATCTTGATATTATAGGTCAGGAATAGAGAATTTCCAGGTGGTGGGTCAGATTTGGTCCCAGGGCACTTTCATCGCCCCGGTGAAGCTTTGAAGGCAGCCACAGTACAGTGAAGACCACAGCCCAGTGGGCTTCTCCTCAGGACAGCTGTTGAAGGCACTCCACTGGGGGAGAAGACTTTGACCTTAAATCCATTCACACATTCCTTTTAATTCTGGACCAACTGTCATATTCCTTTGCTGGCATGTTGGTTTCTCCAGGACCTAGCTCACTATTTTTTTAAAATAAATGTTAGACTGTGAACACCTGCATGCTGCCTGCCACCCTGTGCACAGAATGGACATGATCAAGTTGATGGAGCTCACTGCATCCAGGATGAGTGTGAGACACAGCTGTCTCCTGAAATTTGGGTTATTATAACATTGCCTTGTGTTCCCCAATATTGTTCATGTCATAAAACAGGTCAGAAAGGTGGCCCCAGAGACAGACGGGAAAAGACAGAGAGGTAGGTCAGAAGAACGCTACTCTTGAAGGCTCAGCAAGGTGCCCCAACTTGTCTTTCACTGGCAAAGGACCAACAAATCATGAATAATGGGACCTGCATGTCTATGGGCGAGTCCACGTGGTCATTTCATGATCTTTTTTTTAAAATCTTAGGTATCTAAAAAATGTTTATTGGTGCTTTGAATTGTATCATAAAAATTTACATTTTTAGCCATTTGTTGTGGGTATAAGAAATGCAGTTTACTTTTGCATACAGATTTTTAATCTAACACCTCTCTTACTAATTTCTTTTTTCTTTCTTATTTTAAAATTAAAGCATAGTCATGATTGTTTTTAGTGACGGAGATCAAGAGGGCACAACTGTTTCTCTTTGGCTGGAGCCCTTCAACAAAAGAAAAACTCTGAATCACTATGGAAGGTTTACTATGCTAATTCAGTTAGTCACACCAGATCCTTTGGAACACTCGTTTCTATTTAAGCTAAGAGGCATATCCCTGAGTTTAGTCTCCCTTACAGCAGAGCTGCTTAAAGCAGATTCTGTCCTTTGACCTTCCTCAGTGTGTCTCTATCGCTCACCCACCTGGAATTTCCACCCTCTTCTCCTGTGTCAGTTTTGTAGATCTGTTGTCTTGTGACCTCTGTCATATAATACATAGGCCACACTTTTTAACTTTTACTGATTTTCACTCTTTCTGTTATAGGTTATGTGACACACACATTTGTTATACACAAACTTGACCACAGTTCTGAACAACCTGGACTTCCATTATTTTTAGTATAGAAAGGCTAAATTAAGATACTTGCCATCAAGCCTTGTTCTCCTGGTTTCCCTGGTTCACCCTTAAAAAAGAATAGTGATAATTTTATTAATGCTATAAACATTAAAAATCAATTTCAACCTTTTCTTTTTTCTTTTTCACAATACCCACTGGAGTGCATAAATGTCAAATAGGCTTTTCAGGCAAAACAGAGAATTGCAAGCACAATGAAATGAAAAGAGAGCCGATATTTGTTCTTCAAATTCATTTCATAAACATTCTAGGAGCTAATGAGTTTAAATTACAGCACAGATTTAAGAATTATGCCAAGAATGTATTCTAAATAAAACCAGTAGGAGTGATTATATTGTAAGTCAATAAATGGTCCTAGAAAAATATTTAATGTAACTACATTAGCATTTCATTTATTATATCCTGTTTATGATGACATAAAAATGATGAAATGGTGCTCTTGAATGAAAACTCAGAACTTCCATATATAGGACAGAAAGACAACTGTTTTTACTGCAGGAGTTAAATAACAGCATGAACAGAGATTGATTTTGAATTTTGGTTCTCCTGGACTAATGATGGCTGAAGCAGCATGCTTTGTTAAAATTAATAGCATTTATTAAAATAGGATTTTGTGCTGCATCATACCACTATCATAATTTTCTAATACTCAGATTCATATAGAATTTTATGTCATGTTTTATTGTCATATTACTGTAAAGAGAGTCATTGTTTACAGATATTTTTTGAAGAACTGTGCTTGTAATGCCAAGTTATGTAGATGTTGATCTTTAAAAATAAGTAGTTAGAGGCTGGGGTGAGTGGATGGAGAGGGTGAGGGGGATAAAGGCGCATGAAAATTCTCAATCATAATATAAGTTGGTCGCAGGGATGGTTTGTATAACATGGAGAATATAGACAGTGATTCTGTAATACCTTTCTCAACTTATTTTTATAAAACCTTTTCCTAGTGGTTAGGTAGTGTATAAAAATTAATTCTGGGCTACAAATCCTGTTTAAATTACATTTGTGGAATCAAAATCAATGATTCATATCTATGCATATAGAGTTCCATTTCTTACTTAGATGAATAAACTGTATTCCCTTAAAGGATGACATAATATTTGGACGGTTTACAGTTTGTTGCACCTTACCTTTATCTTGTTCCTTGAAAGTAATGTGTACCTCGAATTTTCCTTAGAGTATACAATGCCCAATAATCTGACTAATTTTGTACCACAAAGTGGTTTTAACTACTCTCCTTTGAGGGGACACTTGTATCTTTGTTGGCAAGCAGCAATCAACTGGAGAGCTTCCAATATCCCTCAAGCTTTCTCTCCTTTGGAGTGTCACCCCAAGGAAAGGTAAGACAGTAGAAGACAATTTTAGGATGAAACCACTACTTTGATGGTTCAGTGAAAGCAATGCAAACAACCAGCAAATCCTATGTGGAAAGTCAATTCCTCATTTCATATAACAAATTTACAGCACCTTTCAGAAAGGGAAATGTGGTTTGTAAGAAGGTTGTCTCAGAAAAGTTTTAAAGTACTCTATATTCTTACAAAGAGAATTAGTCTTTGAAAAAATGCACAAATGTATGGATATAAAATGAAATATACCAAAACATTAATGACTGGATGATTTTTAGTTTTACTTTTTTGGTTGTTTTTATTTCAAATTTTCTTTCTTTGGGGGTATTTTCCTTGTTTTGTTCTATGACAACACTAATGAAAATGAGTTAAGTTAAAGCAATACAGTAAACAAGTAATTTAATTGGCACTAAATCTGTATTTTGAATCCTAAAGTCACAATATAAATGGATTTTTTTTTTACCTTTTCCATGTATGTCTCTAAATTGCTGGGTTACCTCTGCCAAACCAAACCATTTATCTTGTGTCCTGAACTATTATGTTATTGACACTTGACCAATTTTAGTAACTAAGTACTTAGCAACTTTGTTCTTAGATCTAAGTATTGAGATCACCTTTAAGTCATTTCTATTAGGAAGCTTCAATACAAAAGACAAATGCTATTTGAACCATATCCATTGATGTTTTAACCATTAATTTTACTGCTTTATTAGCAATTTTTCTTTGGGGGGGTCAAGTTATTAACAGGGAGTTAAATACTGGAAATATTTATCTCCTTTATTTTCCATAAATCATAAGGAGCACTATTATCACTGCTATTGATCCTTTGGAAAATGTTATTAATCTCCCATCTAGTTCTTCAAGCTCATCTGCATTTAAACCAAAGGCACTGATGTACTCTGAGGCAGTCAGGACACAATACAGATCAGGAATCTCCAATCACAGACTTCTTGAGGCTTACCTGAAAACGAGTTTAGCTGTTGTCTGCGTCTCGTGGTTTGTGTGTGCTTCCCGTGGATTGAGCAGTAAAGCAGAATCCTGCTGACAATGCTCTCTCTGCTTGGGGACTCTCCTATCATCCCACTTTCTATGACCCACCCCATTCACTTGACCCCCTAACTCTCCAACTCCATCCCAATTCTAAGCCCTTAAAATGAAACAAAACCTGTGAGAACCATTGATCCAAAAAGCTACTCACGGGCACTCCTGGCATTCCACGGGGGCCATCTTTCCCTGTGTCCCCAGGAGGCCCTCTTGGGCCTGGAGGGCCTGGAGGGCCTGGAGGACCAGCCTGCCCTTGGTCACCCTACAATGGAGAAGGGAACAGACCAAAAGTAACCAAGCAAGATAAAAGACCCAGGTCTTCTTTTCAACACAATAACTCTGTATTATCTAATCCACATGTACACTATGGAAAGAACCAGAACAACCAGAAATGTGAAGCCTGCAGGCAATTTGCCTGCCAGCAGAGAGCAAATAAATATTCATGCTGCGTGAGCTGAGTAGATGCTATTAAAATCAAAGCAGCTCAGGAACCAATACATTCAGCTCTTGGAAATAGCGTGTATGTTATCACTGTATTCAGAGCTGGTATAAAACTTTTGCATAACTTTATCCATGACAATACTGCATCAGTTAATTCACCTTGTTTAATAAAATGGCTGCATTTGCACTTGGACAAATGTGTTCACTTTTTCATAACCTATAAATTTAAGCATACAGTGCTTTTTGTCAAACTGTATAATCATTTATAAGTTACCAAAGCTAATGGCCTCAGAAACCGGATCTATGACTAGATATAATTTAAGCCTTCTTTTTTTTCAATTAAGAAAAAACAGGCTCTCTATTCTTTTTAATTTTGGTACTTTCATCAACATTTCAAAAAAATGCAGCTCACTAAACATAATTTTGCCGCAGTACATTTCCAAGTAGATGCCCACCAACCCCACTCCCACTTGTGAGAGATAAATGGTTAAGGCCCAGTATGCAGATCTCTTTCTGTTATAGGTTATGTGACACACACATTTGTTATACACAAACTTGACCACAGTTCTGAACAACCTGGACTTCCATTATTTTTAGTATAGAAAGGCTAAATTAAGATACTTGCCATCAAGCCTTGTTCTCCTGGTTTCCCTGGTTCACCCTTAAAAAAGAATAGTGATAATTTTATTAATGCTATAAACATTAAAAATCAATTTCAACCTTTTCTTTTTTCTTTTTCACAATACCCACTGGAGTGCATAAATGTCAAATAGGCTTTTCAGGCAAAACAGAGAATTGCAAGCACAATGAAATGAAAAGAGAGCCGATATTTGTTCTTCAAATTCATTTCATAAACATTCTAGGAGCTAATGAGTTTAAATTACAGCACAGATTTAAGAATTATGCCAAGAATGTATTCTAAATAAAACCAGTAGGAGTGATTATATTGTAAGTCAATAAATGGTCCTAGAAAAATATTTAATGTAACTACATTAGCATTTCATTTATTATATCCTGTTTATGATGACATAAAAATGATGAAATGGTGCTCTTGAATGAAAACTCAGAACTTCCATATATAGGACAGAAAGACAACTGTTTTTACTGCAGGAGTTAAATAACAGCATGAACAGAGATTGATTTTGAATTTTGGTTCTCCTGGACTAATGATGGCTGAAGCAGCATGCTTTGTTAAAATTAATAGCATTTATTAAAATAGGATTTTGTGCTGCATCATACCACTATCATAATTTTCTAATACTCAGATTCATATAGAATTTTATGTCATGTTTTATTGTCATATTACTGTAAAGAGAGTCATTGTTTACAGATATTTTTTGAAGAACTGTGCTTGTAATGCCAAGTTATGTAGATGTTGATCTTTAAAAATAAGTAGTTAGAGGCTGGGGTGAGTGGATGGAGAGGGTGAGGGGGATAAAGGCGCATGAAAATTCTCAATCATAATATAAGTTGGTCGCAGGGATGGTTTGTATAACATGGAGAATATAGACAGTGATTCTGTAATACCTTTCTCAACTTATTTTTATAAAACCTTTTCCTAGTGGTTAGGTAGTGTATAAAAATTAATTCTGGGCTACAAATCCTGTTTAAATTACATTTGTGGAATCAAAATCAATGATTCATATCTATGCATATAGAGTTCCATTTCTTACTTAGATGAATAAACTGTATTCCCTTAAAGGATGACATAATATTTGGACGGTTTACAGTTTGTTGCACCTTACCTTTATCTTGTTCCTTGAAAGTAATGTGTACCTCGAATTTTCCTTAGAGTATACAATGCCCAATAATCTGACTAATTTTGTACCACAAAGTGGTTTTAACTACTCTCCTTTGAGGGGACACTTGTATCTTTGTTGGCAAGCAGCAATCAACTGGAGAGCTTCCAATATCCCTCAAGCTTTCTCTCCTTTGGAGTGTCACCCCAAGGAAAGGTAAGACAGTAGAAGACAATTTTAGGATGAAACCACTACTTTGATGGTTCAGTGAAAGCAATGCAAACAACCAGCAAATCCTATGTGGAAAGTCAATTCCTCATTTCATATAACAAATTTACAGCACCTTTCAGAAAGGGAAATGTGGTTTGTAAGAAGGTTGTCTCAGAAAAGTTTTAAAGTACTCTATATTCTTACAAAGAGAATTAGTCTTTGAAAAAATGCACAAATGTATGGATATAAAATGAAATATACCAAAACATTAATGACTGGATGATTTTTAGTTTTACTTTTTTGGTTGTTTTTATTTCAAATTTTCTTTCTTTGGGGGTATTTTCCTTGTTTTGTTCTATGACAACACTAATGAAAATGAGTTAAGTTAAAGCAATACAGTAAACAAGTAATTTAATTGGCACTAAATCTGTATTTTGAATCCTAAAGTCACAATATAAATGGATTTTTTTTTTACCTTTTCCATGTATGTCTCTAAATTGCTGGGTTACCTCTGCCAAACCAAACCATTTATCTTGTGTCCTGAACTATTATGTTATTGACACTTGACCAATTTTAGTAACTAAGTACTTAGCAACTTTGTTCTTAGATCTAAGTATTGAGATCACCTTTAAGTCATTTCTATTAGGAAGCTTCAATACAAAAGACAAATGCTATTTGAACCATATCCATTGATGTTTTAACCATTAATTTTACTGCTTTATTAGCAATTTTTCTTTGGGGGGGTCAAGTTATTAACAGGGAGTTAAATACTGGAAATATTTATCTCCTTTATTTTCCATAAATCATAAGGAGCACTATTATCACTGCTATTGATCCTTTGGAAAATGTTATTAATCTCCCATCTAGTTCTTCAAGCTCATCTGCATTTAAACCAAAGGCACTGATGTACTCTGAGGCAGTCAGGACACAATACAGATCAGGAATCTCCAATCACAGACTTCTTGAGGCTTACCTGAAAACGAGTTTAGCTGTTGTCTGCGTCTCGTGGTTTGTGTGTGCTTCCCGTGGATTGAGCAGTAAAGCAGAATCCTGCTGACAATGCTCTCTCTGCTTGGGGACTCTCCTATCATCCCACTTTCTATGACCCACCCCATTCACTTGACCCCCTAACTCTCCAACTCCATCCCAATTCTAAGCCCTTAAAATGAAACAAAACCTGTGAGAACCATTGATCCAAAAAGCTACTCACGGGCACTCCTGGCATTCCACGGGGGCCATCTTTCCCTGTGTCCCCAGGAGGCCCTCTTGGGCCTGGAGGGCCTGGAGGGCCTGGAGGACCAGCCTGCCCTTGGTCACCCTACAATGGAGAAGGGAACAGACCAAAAGTAACCAAGCAAGATAAAAGACCCAGGTCTTCTTTTCAACACAATAACTCTGTATTATCTAATCCACATGTACACTATGGAAAGAACCAGAACAACCAGAAATGTGAAGCCTGCAGGCAATTTGCCTGCCAGCAGAGAGCAAATAAATATTCATGCTGCGTGAGCTGAGTAGATGCTATTAAAATCAAAGCAGCTCAGGAACCAATACATTCAGCTCTTGGAAATAGCGTGTATGTTATCACTGTATTCAGAGCTGGTATAAAACTTTTGCATAACTTTATCCATGACAATACTGCATCAGTTAATTCACCTTGTTTAATAAAATGGCTGCATTTGCACTTGGACAAATGTGTTCACTTTTTCATAACCTATAAATTTAAGCATACAGTGCTTTTTGTCAAACTGTATAATCATTTATAAGTTACCAAAGCTAATGGCCTCAGAAACCGGATCTATGACTAGATATAATTTAAGCCTTCTTTTTTTTCAATTAAGAAAAAACAGGCTCTCTATTCTTTTTAATTTTGGTACTTTCATCAACATTTCAAAAAAATGCAGCTCACTAAACATAATTTTGCCGCAGTACATTTCCAAGTAGATGCCCACCAACCCCACTCCCACTTGTGAGAGATAAATGGTTAAGGCCCAGTATGCAGAGTAATAACTGAATGTAAAGAAGAAAGCAGACTTGAGCAAGAATAAGCACTACCTTAATCAGGCGGCGTTTAATGAGCTGCTGATCAGCAGAGAGAAACCCATGATTGATTTTAGGAAACACCATCTGATCAGTCAGGTGAGGTCAAAGGTGAAGTTCAGAGATGAGAGAGTTGAAGAATAGACATCAGAAGGCCCCAAGAAAGAAATAAAGATATACACATTAGACTTATAATGACCATTCAACAAAACAGAACTGGTACTTGTGTCTGACATTAGACGCTCTAGCTCGTCTGGAAAGAAATACAGCCCTGGAACAGGATGGTTGGATCAGTTTTTTAGTTAGAAATGGGTCTCTTATGTGTCCCATCATTTTGCTGTGGGTGTTGGGCCTTTTGAATGTAGTACGTTAAAGAAGCAGGTAGGCTCCTGTCACCTGCAACCTGCACGTTAAGCAGAGAGTCCAGTGACAAAGTTCCAGTTCAATGTGTCAGGCTTGTCAACCAGCATAATGTGGCATGAACACGACTGTCATCTTATAAATGCCTGAAGTCCAGAGTATTTAGGGTTATTTAATTGACAGAAAAATATCACAGAGCATTGGGATGGATGCAAATTAAACCGAGGAGGTGTGGCACGGGCCTAGGTAGGTCCCTGCCTCTCCTCATTGTCTGCTCGACTTCAGTATCAATATCCTCCTCTCATTTTGCTCAGGATTCTCCTTCTTATATATTTGAGCTCACTAATGGACAGGAGGTCTCAAGAAGCCAGTAACTTGATGCATAAAACGAAAGAGAGCAACTGGCCCCGGCCACCTGCTCCGCCAATTCAGTGTCCTTGCTCACTCTTATGCTGACTGCAGGCCCTGACAGAGCAACTATGGGTGCCAACCACAAACCTTGACGGTGAGGATCTGATTACTGTGCAGAGCGGCCACTGTGGGGAAGCCTGGCAGACCCTACGGACACGGGACAGCACGAAAACAACACGACACAGAACGTCACACAGACATTCACTGATGGACAAACAAAACAAGCACGTACCTAATGCCACCCTGGCCCAGCTCTAAGTCTTACTGTGTCTGACACACTGTAAACAAAGTCAGACACACAAGGCAAGGCCCCCAGGAAAATAAGCCATTTTTGAAAGGGCATGGTCAGATTGAGAGCTCCTCGGAACTGCTGCTTGTGGCAGGTACACTGGGATCTGTGTATACACTTGGGACATTTCTGGAATCTCACACACAAAATGTTAGTACAAAATGGAGATAATTGCAGACACTGTTATGAAAACAAAACTGTAATTTCCTTCTATTGACATTCTGTTTACAACTCAGGATATACAATACGTGTATTAATTCTCTTTTGGACAACAGCGAACAGCAGTTTGCAATTAGATCAGGAGTATTCCTCAGAATAAACACAGTATGCCTCAAAAAATACAGTTTTACCACCTGCATATCAAAATTTCTCTTCTCTAATCAGATGATGAGTCTCAGGTCTTTCCTGTTGCAGGAATTCCCGCAGATCTGGTGGATGGAAACCTGTCTCTTGTAACGTGCGTAGTTCACATCAGGGGGATTTATGGTCACACTCCACAGTAATCACTCCTGTCACATAACTTTTCCAAAAGAACTTGACAGTTCACACAACCCCTTCAAGCAGAAAAGTGGCTTTGAATTCTTTAGCCAAGGAGAATGGGGGAGAGATGTTTTAGGGACCCATACATACTTCACTAACTTGCACTGACTTGTCCTCACAGGCCTTATTAATTGCAGGTGTGAGAGAAAAATTTTGCCTTTATTCTATTTATTTTCCAGCAACATGTGATACTGGAGCCTTTTATTTCATTTTTTTCTCCCACAAAGAACATGTTTATCATACAAAGAAAATTAAGTGACAACCACAGCAATCCACGGCCTTCAAGTTTCTGCAGGCTTCCTAGATGTTTGCTCCTTTCTGCCCTTTCCTGCCTCCCACCCAAAGCTAGTTTGAGGATATTTTTCATCAAGGCCAGAAAATTTCTAGTTTGTTAATCTTACTAGTCTTGGTTTATTTATTTTCTCCCTTATTTCCCCTTTATTAGGGATATATTTTTCTTTTTAAGAGAGCCAATAAACTTATGTTTGTTCTAGGAAGACATCTCTTTAGCCCAAGCGTCTTCTAATTCTCATTCCTCTGGCACTGGAACTTCTCAGGAAACAAAGCAGAGGAAATCTTATTTGGCCAAATCCTTTCTGATAAAGCTATGAAGTGGCTAGGTAGTTTTGAAGTTACCTGTATCCTCTTTTTCTTCTCCCTAAGTAAACGACCTTTAAACACAGACTCTATACTTCAGAAATGCTACAAGTTGGAAAACAGATGTGTACAATTTGCTTTTGTTTTACTATGGAATATGAGTTTAAAATGTTATTAGATGGTAATGTGCCAGCATGTTTCCATCTGTGACTCATTAGCCCTATATTACACAGTCAGAATTTTATATATAAACCTCATATTTATGTAACAAAGAACAAAAACAGATACAAACAAGAAGTCTATGAGGGATCAGAATCTTGATTAGTGGCGATTAATCATAATGTCACTTTAAACGGGATTATCTAACAAAAATAATTTAAAATTAAAAGCTTTTAACAGCACACATGGTAGGCCTTACAAGTATTTTGAAATCTGAATGTATAAATAAGTCACTTCTTGTACTCATATCTGAGCATGACCAGCTTGCTGTCTGATCATATTTTCTAAATGCTCACCAAAAAAATGCATTACATTTTATAACTTATTAGTTTGGTTTCCACTGTTAACAAGATCTAAAGAGGGAAGTGAACAGGTAATTCTTACCTCAGACAGATCCTTTTCTTCAAAAAGAAAACCACTATTTGAGGAAGCTGGCTTTATAGTCCTCAATCATCTTAACTGTGGACATAGTACCAATTAGGTACTTAGAGCTACATTTTAGAGATTTCATTAGTGAGCTAGGCAAAAGGACCTCAGGAGCTTACATGTAGCAAAGTAGAAGGGAAACATAATAGAAGAATTCTCTTAAATGCTCCCAAAGATCTCATGGCTTGGGATGCACTAGCCTAGGACCTTGTGTTTTTCAAATTGGTCTAATGTTTGAAGGTACCTGCTAGTGTCCTGGGGGAGTGTTTAAAGGCAATAATAAATATGGCATATCTTCATGAAGAATCAATTTTAATTAGTGGTTAAGAATTTGAAACATTTTTATGTAAAGTAAGCATTGTCATATTGCAGCATTGAATGCAAACTCTGCACAAATTTTTTAAAATTCTACCATTTGATGGTGGTAGAGAATTTCATTTCACAGGGGACACAGGTGGACACTGAACTGACTCTCCCCTTCCTGCAGGAAGTCTTTGGAGGATAAGTTTGAAAAACAGGTGCTGAATACTGATCTGTAGGTCATGGCCTTGCATGGCCATAACTGTTAGGCTTCCCTAGCTGTTCATGCAGGGAACACACTTTTTTATTAATGATACCATTTCCCCACAGTATCATTAGTCATTAGAGTCTAAATAAGTGGAATGGACATATTTCACTTGGTTTAACATCTTGGAAAACTTGCCTGGTACACAGATGGTTTGAGTGGGTGTGGAAAAAAAATGTGTCTCCAGAAAAACATGGAGAAAGAGTCCAGGGTTAAGCTGAAATACTGAAATAATTTGTACAATTTTCACTCCTAAATATTTTGAATTCTTAAGAAACTGGATGAGCAAAAGTGTAAAACTACATTATACAACCCATTTTCTTCCTGAGCACATATGTAGACAACTTCATGAACCTTCCTAATATTCTGTGAAGTAGGTAACATCTCAGGACCAGTGTTTTGACACCATCATAGGAAGGTTTATGTCCCTTCATTGCCTCCTAAAAAGGAAGATGTAAGTGTTCCCTTCAGAGATGTTGAATGAATAAATATATCATAAGCAATGCTTCTAACTACATAGAAGCCATAAATTCAAGATGCTATTGTCATTTTTATTGTGTATTCAGTAATAAGTGTTATATGATTACATTATAGTGAAAAAATTTTGTTTTCTATTTGTTTTCTATATTCTTACTGAATAATAAGACAGTGATAGAGCCAGAAATTTCATCCAGAACTTCTAATTCCAGACTTTGTCATCAAGCAATCTATGTCTTTATAACTTCTCTCTACTTCTTTTCTAGTTTCTAGTTTAAATATTAGAAACTAGCATTCAACAATATTCAGGAAGCATTTATTTGGTGCCTTCCATGCAGCATTTACTCTGTTAGGTCCTGGAGCTTGAATGGTGAGCACGACCCAAGCATACAGGGTTTAATGTCTGGGGAGAAATAGGGAAAATGAGCAGGCAGTAATCATATGGAATGATAACCATTATGATGGATAAGCAGAGGAGCTACAAAGGAAATAAACGTGTACCTACTGCCAGATTTGAGAAGTCATGGGAGAACTGCCCAAGACAGGTGAATGAGGGGAGGGGAGGGGAATTTGCATGGCAAGAGGAAAACCAAAGACAGAGACCACTTAGGAAAATGTTACAGTCGTCTAGTTGAGGGACCGTGTCTTAAAACTAAAGGAGGGACAAATTTACAGTTCTGAGTGATATTAAGGAGGGGGGATTTTCAGGACTTGTAGCTTGACTGAGAACCTGGAGGAGAAAGAGGAGCCGAGAGTGTTGCTGGGGCTTTAGCTTGAGCAGTGGAGGAGCATAGAGGGCAAGCTGGAAGAGAGGGGCTTTCCGGGGCAGGTAGGGGGTTCTGGATGAAAAAGTCAGGTAGGGACTTGCTGAATTTGAGGTGTCTATGGACACCCAAGGAGCAGCAGATGGATATGCATAAAAATAGTTTGGAGAGAGGGGGCACTCACAAATCATAGGGCTGCCCAAAGTCATCTAGGGGAGCTGTTGAGAGAGCAGACCTAGGACAGAGCCTTTGGAAAGACTTTGGTTTAAGGAATGAGCAGAGGAAGGGGCAACTACAAAGAGAAATAATGGAAAGTGGCTGTCAATGCAGAAGGGAGGCGAGCTCACCTCACAAAAGTTCTCTTCAGGCAAATGACTCAAAATGACTACTAATGAAAACCATGTCACCAGCTGTGCTGCATAAATGCACATAAACTGAA